CTGCCCCTCCCCCATTCATGCTCTGTCTCTCTCTGTCCCAAAAATAAATAAACGTTGAAAAAACAAAAACAAAAAAAAAACATACTTAACGAGTCACCTAGGTGACTTTAACACAGGTAGGTGGACGCCTGGCCAACTTGAGAAACTTTGGGAGAAGATAACCAAGAGAAAGGCCAAAAGAGGCTCCAAATGAGTTTCAAAGTGGATGTGTGTAAATCTTAAGGATTGCCCAAGATGAAAAAAGAGCTTTGGGGCACCTGGGGGCTCAGTCAGTTAAGCCCCTGACTCTTGATCTCAGCTCATGTCACAATCTCAGGGTTGTGAGTTTAAACCCCAACTTGGGCTTGACCTCTTTCATTTTAATCTCTATTTCTATTTTATGTATATTTAAATTAAAAAATTAAAAAAAATATTTTATTTATTTTTGAAGGAGAGAGAGAGAGAGAGACAGAGACAGAGCATGAGTGGGGGAGGGGCAGAGAGAGAGAGAGGGAGACACAGAATCCGAAGCAGGCTCTAGGCTCTGAGCTGTCGGCACAGAGCCCAAGGCAGGGCTTGAACTCACAAACTGTGAGATCGTGACCTGAGCTGAAATCAAGGGTTGGACACTTAACCGACTGAGCCACCCAGGCGCCCCTTAATATTTCAGTCATGGTAACCAAGACCGTACTTATAAAACTCAGTGGCATTTCATTCATTTAAGCTTGCTAAGGACGAGTTAACTGCTGGCTTTCTTCATCCTTCCCCCCTGCAGTATCGATTTTACGGAGAACCTGTAGTAAAAGCGTGTGTTGAAAATGGAACGAGCTGTATTGACATCTGTGGAGAACCTCAGGTACGTAAAATGCAAAGGAAAGAATGGAATTAGCAACGCAACTTTCTGTTAGCGTGGACAATACTTAGTGCAGTTTCGCAGACCTATTTTAGAATTCGATGTCCCCCTCCCTCGTGGTGACAGATGGTGTTCTGTGGACGGCTCACAGGAGAGCCCGATGGGAAGGTCTCTTCTTCTGCTTTCTCGAATTTTTTTCTTTCTTACCATCTCATTGATTTCAGGTCTCTTGTAGGTAGGCTGTGCTGATTTTTAAGCCCCAAACCCATCACCCCAGTCCAGTCTTGAGAATTCCAGTAGAGGGGCGGTCTACAAAATACCTCATCGGAAGCCCTCAAAACCGTCAAGGTCCTCGGAAACGAGACTCTGAGAGACCGTCATAGCCAGGAGGAGCCTAAGGAGACATGACCGCTAAATGTCATGTGGGATCCTGGCAGAGAAAAAGGGTGGATAAGAATGGACTGTAGCTAATGATAATGTTACCACCATGGGTTCCTTAATTGGAACAAATGTTCGTGTCCAAGCTGTCACGACAGGAGAAACTGGGGCGGGGTGCGTGGGAACTCTCCGCTACTCAGATTTTCTGTAAATCCGACACTGTTCTGGAAGTAATTGTAAACCCAGGCAGAGGATTCGAGCAGACGTTATTCTCCTCTTCCATCCCTCCTTCTCTCCACTTGCTTTACTCTAACTGTATATATGCACAGATACGTGTCCGTAATCGTGTCCGTCTGAGTAATAGGTTTGGGTTAGGCTTTCTTGCCTTTTTTTTTTTTTTTTTTTTTTTTGTATTTTTTTTGTATATTAATTTAATTTTTCATAATGGATGTTACTCTGACACTTAAAAGGCATTTTGAAAAAATTAATAGTGTCGTTAAGTCAGACCAGCTTATCTTCTGCACTAGTTGGCATCTGGCAGATATCCAGTGAATACTTGCTGAATAAATGAAAAACATTTCGACACTTAATATTTCACTACAAAGCCATACCTGTTAGCATTTTCAAAATGCAATTGCTTTGTCTTTTAAGGTCTCTCATCGAATACTGATGTAAATGTTTCTGATTTAAATAGCTCTGATTCACAGTTTTGTCCTGGATTTTTTAGTTTCTGGAACTAATGTATTGGAAGTATCACGAGAAAGCTGCAGAAAAGGGAGCTTATATCATTGGAAGCAGTGGCTTTGATTCCATTCCAGCAGACCTGGGAGTGATATATACCAAAAACAAGATGAATGGTAATTATCCATCAAGAAGCAATAAGTGGATTTACAATAGAAAGGCTTCATGTTTGTAGTGTGGAAGAGAAGCAGAACTATTAGTGGGTAATGTGAACACAGGTGCTTTGTTTCTAATATAGCGGTAATTGTTATAAAATGTGAAAGGGCGCCTGGGTGGCTCAGTCGTTTAAGCGTCTGACTCTTGATCTCAGCTCAGGTCTTGATCCCAGGGTCGTGGGTTCAGGCATCATGTTGGGCTTTGTACTAGGCATGAAGCCTACTTAAAAAAAAAAATACTACTGACGCTATTTTTTGAGATGCATGTTCTAAAGTGAGGAATTATCCATTGTCTCAATTTAGTTATGGTTAGAGCTGTAACATTTCTGGAAATAGAATTTCTGACAGTCATTGTAAATTCAAACTTGCTTGGTTTTGGAATTAATACATTTAAGAATATGATTTATATAGGTATTATAATTGAAGTTTTAAATTTTTTAAATTTTTTTTCAACTTTTTTTTTTTTATTATTTATTTTTGGGACAGAGAGAGACAGAGCATGAACGGGGGAGGGGCAGAGAGAGAGGGAGACACAGAATCGGAAACAGGCTCCAGGCTCCGAGCCATCAGCCCAGAGCCTGACGCGGGGCTCGAACTCATGGACCGTGAGATCGTGACCTGGCTGAAGTCGGACGCTTAACCAACTGCGCCACCCAGGCGCCCCTGAAGTTTTACAATTCTTAATCAACAAAGCTGAAAAGTATTGAACAAATTTTTTGGCTTCTATTTCACCCCATTTGTAAAAGGAACCAATAATTTAAGAGTGGAAAAAATCATGTTGACTTGGGCAGCACATAATACTAAAATTGGGGGCGCCTGGGTGGCTCAGTTGGTTGAGCGACCGACTTCGGTGCAGGTTATGATCTCGCAGTTTGTGAGTTCGAGCCCCGCGTTGGGCTCTGTGCTGTTGGGCTCTGTGCTGACAGCTCGGAGCCTGGAGCCTGCTTTGGATTCTGTGTCTCCCCCTCTGTCTCTGCCCCTCTCCTGCTCATGCTCTGTCTCTCTCTCTCTCTCTCAATAATAAATAAATGTAAAAAAAAATTTTTTTAAATACTAAAATTGGAATAATACAGAGAACATGAGCACGTCCCTGCGGAAAGATGACACACGCAGATATGTGAAGCGTTCCATATTTTTAAGACGAGAGGTGTTGGCGAGGATGTGGAGAAAAAGGAACCCTGTGCACTGTTGGTGGGAATGCAAACTGGTGCAGCCACCGTGGGAAACAGTAGGGAGCTTCCTCAAAAAGTTAAAAATAGAGCTACCCTGCAATTCAGCAATTACACCACCAGGAATTTACCCAAATAGTACAAAAACACCAACCAATTCCAAGGGATACGTGCACCCCTCTGTTTATTACAGCACTAGTTACAGCAGCCAAGATGTGGAAACAGCCCGCGTGTCCACTGATTGATGGGTAAAGAAGATGTGGTGTATACACACATATATCCATATCTGTGTGTGTGCATACACACGCACACACACTGGAATATTATTCAGCCATAAAAAAAGAATGAAATCTTGCCATTTGCAACAACATGGATGGAGCTAGAGAGTATAATGCTAAGAGATGTAAGTCAGAGAAAGACAAATACTATGTGATTTCACTCGTATGTGAAATTTATGAAACAAGCAAAGGTAAAAAAAGAGACAAATTAAGAATTGAACTCTTCTTTTTTTTTAGCGTTTATTTATTTTTGAGAGAAACAGAGAGAGACAGAATGAGAGCAGGGGAGGGACAGAGAAAGAGGGAGACACAGAAGCTGAAGCAGGCTCCAGGCTCCGAGCTGTCGGCACAGAGCTTGACGCGGGGCTTGAACCCATGACCCGGGAGATCATGACCTGAGCCGAAGTCGGACGCTTAACTGACTGAGCCCCCAGGCGCCCTAG